AAAAAAAAAAAAAAAAAAAAAAAAAAAAAAAAAAAAAAAAAAAAAAAAAAAAAGTCGAACCGATGACACAGGTGGAGAGCGCGCGATCGCAAGGAAGAAAGTGAGTCAAGGTCCCCAACTAGACCTCGGAAAGAACGCGCTTTCTCTCCCCGTGTGCGCGGGTTGCGTAATGCAGCTCCTCCTCGGCTCGCACTTTTTTCTTTATTTTTATCATCATTATCGTCTAATGGTCCTTTAAGATTAAATATACCTACAGTATAATATATATGGTCTGCCGGCCAAGTGTGCGTGAGATTATAAAGTGTATATGGGCGAATTTATGTAATCTCTTTCACTGCATAGGCACGGCGAGCAGTGGCGGGAATTCCGGACGCGAGTTCAGAAACCGGTTCTGCAGCCGCAGACCGTTAAAAAGTACATAACGCCGATCGAGGTCGTCACCAATGATTTTATGAAAAGGTGGGATGTATCCTCTTTTTTTTTAACACACCCCCTCCCCCGAGCCTGTTTCCGGCACTAAACGAAGAATAATCGTTACCTTTTTTTCAGGATCGAAGATATCAAGGACGAGAAGGACGAGGTACCGGCCGATTTCGACAACGAGATCCACAAATGGGCCCTAGAGTGTAAGGAGACTTTGTTATTTATACCTATATGATCGACTGTGTATGTTTAGAGATAAGTAAGCTCGTTTCGATAGTGACAATTTATCACGTAATTTTTGCATCAGTAAACCGGTAAACTTTGTTTGGGAAGCTATTTTTATTTATTACCATCGTGTCGTCATACGTGGGATGAGAAAATGTATTAATAGCAAAGCCGAGAGTAAAATTATGACGCGTTAATTGCTCGATGGCTTTATACTTGGGTATACCGGAATTAAGTCTTAGGATCATTTGTATGCCAATTAATGTATTGTAGATTGAACAAAAAAAAAAAACCGTTAACCCTTTACAAAAGTATACATCAGAACACACGTGTGTCTGAAATACAAGATTTAAAGGGGAAAAAAGGTGATAAATGTCTTTTTTCATCTTCATTTGAACAATTTCACGCTGCAGGTATCGGCTTGGTCGCCCTTGACGTGAGGCTCGGCTGTTTGGGCGGCGAGTTAGCGCCAGACTCGGAGCCCCAAAAGATCATCGACGCGGCCAAGTACGCGCTGAGGAACGTCGCGACCCTCGAATTGAAAGCCCCTTACTGGCGCTACGTACCGACGCCCCTGTGGACGCGCTACGTCCGCAACATGGATTTTTTCGTCGAGTAAGCTTTTCGTTTTGCCAGAGTGGTGGTACAAAGTGATCGCGTGGTAATTGTTTTTTTTTTTTTTTTTTTTTCTTACAGAGTGTGCATGAAGTACATTGACGCGGCGATCGAGAGGCTAAAGGAGAAGAAAAAGGCAAGAGGCGACGTACACGAGTCCGAGCTGTCGCTCGTCGAGCGAATCCTCGCCAAAGAGACCGATCCGAAGATGGCGTACATCCTTGCTCTCGATCTCATTTTGGTCGGGATCGACACGGTAGGCCCACCCCATAACGTCCCGATAATAGAAAAAAAAAAAAAAAAAAAAAAAAACAATAGAATGACGTATTACGTTAATTAAAAACGGCAGATATCCATGGCAGTGTGCTCGATACTCTATCAGTTGGCGACGAGGCCCGAGGAGCAGGAAATCATTTACAAAGAGGTGATGAGCATCGCGCCGGACCCGAGCGTGCCCTTGACCACGAGAGATCTCGACCAGGCGCATTACATGAAAGCCTTCGTCAAGGAAGTATTTAGGTAAATTTGGATTTTTTTAAGTTGTTTCTTAACGAGTTTTTCGTTAATCGTCGTCCTTGACGTTGTCACGCAGGATGTACTCGACTGTCATCGGGAACGGAAGGACACTGCAGAATGACATGGTCATTTGTGGCTACCACGTGCCCAAGGGGGTGAGCTATTTCTTTCTTCTCCTTCTGTTTTCGAACAATCCTCGGCACGCAAAAGATTTACCGAGGCCGCATTGTTACGACCGTCCTGATATGCATCGAAATTATTTTTTACGATAAAAATTATCATTTCTTTTTTTTGTTTCATCACCATACACTCGTTTGTATTATCAATGCACAAAGTGAATCGACACATCTTCATGCACTTGTGTTACTCTACTTTTGAATTGTAAATGCACAATTTGTATACACCCTCGAAATTAATTTTTCTCTCTCGACTCATCAATCTCACGGGAAAGCTAAACGAAAAAAACATAAATTACGAGACATACCATTTAAACGTTGGTTAAAAAAAAAAAAGTTGCTCCGATTAGCCCCTTTTTTTTTAAACGCAAAAGTGTAGTTTATTCCACGCACGCCTTTCCAATTACCTGCACATAGTATCTTGTCGACAAGCTACTTATCAATCAATTAACGCAATAAAAGCTCAACTAATGGCAATCGGATTGCTCCCCCCCATTTTTTTTTTTTTTTTTTTTTAACACCCTAGGTGCAAGTGGTATTTCCCACATTGGTAACCGGCTGCATGGACGAGTACGTGGACGATGCAAAGACCTTCAAAGCCTCGCGCTGGCTCAAGGACTCGGCCGGACAGAAGTTGCACCCGTTCGCTTCACTGCCTTTCGGCTACGGTGCTCGCATGTGCCTCGGCCGACGCTTCGCCGACCTCGAGATGCAGGTTCTACTCGCTAAGGTATCGCACTTGTTTACGTGTATGATTGATACCTTTTATGGATTTCTTTACAATTGCCACTTGGTTTTTTTTTTTTTTTTTTTTTTTTTTTTTTTTTTTACTAATGTTAAATATTTTTATAATGTAAACAAATACAAAAGTAACACTAACGTTATGCTGCAATGTTAATGCCCACAATTCAATTAGTNTTTTTTTTTTTTTTTTTTTTTTTTTTTTTTTTTTTTTTTTTTTTTTTTATTCGTACAACTCTCGTCGAGTAGTATGATTTTATTTTTTCACGGAAACCGGTTTAAAAAAAAAAAACCATTTTAATTCACAGCTGATACGGGAGTACAAAATTGAGTACCATTATCAGCCGCTCAAGTACAAGGTGACGTTCATGTACGCGCCGGACGGAGAATTGAAATTCAACATGATCAGCAGAAATCGGCAAAACAGCCCTAAACCGACGAACACACGATGAAAATATACTAATAATGGACAACACACGATGTTAATTAAAGCGGATGAAAATTTATTCAACATATAATATATGTATGTATGTATGAGTTTACATTCATACAGGATTGACATAAAAAAAGCTCGAAACCATATGTTGGCATTATATTGTACAAAAATTACTTGCAATGTGTATAATACATATACTAGATTTATATGATATATGTGTAGCGTAGCAAAATGTTTGTGTTCGCCCTAGCCCTCTACAATTATTTATACACAGATATTTGTATACGTAACTATTATAGTTGATGAGGATATTATATAGTGTACTGATTGTTACTTATATGCATATGTATACTGTCGTTTGATTTTTACTTGCACTTTCACCTTTCGACGAATCTAAATTTCAACGGTCCCCTCGGCGTGTACATCGGATCGATGTAGTACTCCAGTTTCTCGTGGTGGTACTCCACGCGGTATCTCTGGAATATCTGCGGAGGAAAAAAAGCAACGAGGTGTTTGAAATTATTTAAAAATTAGAGAAAAAAATGTACAAACGCCTTTTGTACTTTGCTATTTGTTCTCGCGTCTCAAATATTTTAACGGTCGCCACAACAACAGACCCATCTTCGCTCGTGTGTTTTCGACGTGTACAGTTATTTTTTCACAAACAACAAACGCCTACGGTGTAAGGATTTCACCACCACCAGCCATGAATATGATGACGAATATGATGTGCCGTCAGTTTTCTTTCAGTTCTTTGAGCGGTGAGATTTTTGTTTTTTGTTTTTCTATACCTAAACTCGTCAATAGTTTATTTTCGTGCTTCGAACAGCGTTAGTAAGCCAGTAAAATTTAACGGCGCTTTAAGAAGGATCTTGTCCGTTGGCGTCGAGATGAAAAGATACGGAAAAAAAAAATCACGATGGCACCATAATTCAGGCCGCTCATTGTGCGCGTGGATACAAATTTTTCATTGCGCAACAACGACATCCTTACCGCTTGCTTTTGCGCCGATATGATCGTCATACATATATATATTTGCCTTCTTTAGAACTGGAAGGTGTGCTTTTCGGGCGCGCTAATATGATCTGTACACGATTGATTAATTTGACGTCGTTTTTTTTTTGGTGCCCGCTTGAAAAACCAGTTCTTGAATATTTAGCGATGGCTTCGATCTTTTGGAAAGTTTTTTTTTCTAATACTCTTTGGAACGGACGGCTGTTCATAATTATGTTTTGTCCGAACATTCTGTTATTAAGAGAGTGCCTCCTTTGCTCACAAGTATACATGTTCATACGAATGAGCGTTGTGTTCGTGCAAAAAAAAAGAAAAAAAAATGAGAAATTACTTTAAATGAGAAACTCACATAGCCGCGCATACTGTTTATTTTCAGGAAGGACAAGGAAAAAAAAAAAAAAAAAAAGGATCTCAAGTATTTAGCATAATTTCGGCGTTACGCTTTCTTCGCTTCAATTGCGTAGCATTGCCTTTCAATTTTCATAAACGCTTCCGCCTCGTACCCGTCATTCGTATCCCCCGAAAATAAAAATAACAACATCGTCACTTCCCGCGTACGTGGTGATTCAATATGAAACCTAATCATTTTTTTTTCCTTTCTATTGTAGAAAGTAAGAAGCGTATATGCGGTAATGATTTGAATAAGCGAGCGATCTCCCGAGCTGTGCAAGTGCACAAAGTTTTTCAAGAAATGGTAAAGAATGATAATGAAAATTGTACCTTGCTGAGAACGATAATGATCTCGAGGTCGGCGAATCGTCGGCCGAGGCACATGCGCCTGCCGTAGCCGAAAGGCAGGGATGCGAAGGCGTGACGGGGAGCCGGGGCTTCGAGGGTTCCGGAGCCGATCCAACGCTCGGGCAAAAATTCGGAGCTGCGCGGGAAGTAGCGCTCCGTGTTGCTGATCACGTAGTGTTGGAAGACCACGTGCACCTGTTACAGTTTTTTTTATTTTTTTTTATTTTTTATCTGAGATCAACAATCATACAAGCATACACAATTACACATAAATGGAGCTATATTTCAAGTGTTTTTTGGAAATCTAACAAAAGTAAATCTGCACCTACAAGTACATCGATTACATTTTATGATTTTTAGCTGAGCAGTTGAAAGAAAAATGTTACACTGTAAACTCAAATGTGTTTAAAGTACATGTAGTTGAAATTTCGGTTTTTCGTAAAATGCATTTTAATACAGTACTGTTGATAAATGTAATAAAAAAAAAAAAAATAATAATAATAAAAAAAAAATCTTTCCTAAGCTGTTTTATCTATTCCATTGAACCAAAGAACTTTTTTCCAATAATTTACACAGAAAAGCTGTAAATTCATAGTCACGGTCAAGTTTAGACTTACTCTACTCTGCAGCCGTAGAATAATTGGTTGTTCTTAAAATTCTTATCAACACAACTGCAACGCATCCGATAAAAAAAGGGAGGAAATTTCAACTACACGCTTTAAACGTATGATCTTCAACACGCTTGGATTTACTGCGTATTTATCATGAATGTAATCATGGAATGATACCTAATAGCTTATTCCCATAGTGTACACTCACCTTCTGCAACATTGTATTTGCTCGTAACACGAGGCAAATGAAAATGAATAGGCGCTAGTGCTATATAATAATTACGGATAATCATGTAATTTATATACTCACTCCTTTGGGCACCTGATAGCCACCGATGACGGTATCGTTCGTCATGCAACGCCCATTGCCGATCACCACGGGGTACATTCTAGTGGACGATCACGTTGCGAAACCGAGAACAAAACAAACGAAAGTCAATTATACACTTTACAGCCATACATACCTTATAGAATATACCTATGCAGCTTCTTGTGGTGACCTCCTCGCTTGTGTGCATAACACTATTTTTTATCATCAATGACGATTTATTGAATAAAAGAGAGAGAGAGAGAACACATATTGTGTGCGCGCGTGCGAGGAATGCGCCTAGAGTTGTTACGTGCAGTCACCAAGTAAACGATGATTTATCAAAAAAAGTACAAGTTACCTTTGAGTCTCTCTAACGCAAGCTTTGAGATACTTGAGCTGATCTATGTGCCCGGTCTCGACGTGTCCGTCTGCCGGCAAGACTCTCTTTAGCTCCTCGTACAGTAGGTCCTGCTTGTCCGGGTGTTGGGCCATCTGATAGAGTATCGATGCGACCGAGTTCGAGGTCTGTACGGAAACAAGAGACGATTTACTCCATGCAAGTACATAGGGGTCAAACATTGAAAAAACAAAAAAAAAACAAAAAAAAAAAACGCATTGTTGTATATACCGTATCGATGCCAACTAAAAATAGGTCAAAGGCCAATATGGTAGCCAACTGGGTGTTTCCCTCGATTTGCAAAACGCGCTCCAACAGCGAGAGCTCGTCCTTTGCCTTGCCCGACAGCTTTGCCCTCTCCAGTGCTATGTTCGTGTATTTCGAGGTGGTGCTGCTCAAATACAAAAAGTACATTACAATTGTATATTATATATATACCACGGTAATGGCGAAAAAAAAAAAAAAAAAAAATCGGCAAGCATATACCTGAGAATAACGTCCAGGGCGTTGATGTATTGTCTCCAGGTTGGGGTAGGGAAGTACTTCCACCAGGGTATTTTGAGCTCGAGGGGGCCGACGTTCTTGAAAAACTGCAGCACCGCGTTGATCAGTCTCTGGGTCTCGGGTGGCGCGTCCTCCTCGTCGAGGCAGCCGAGCCTCACGTCAAGGGCCACTCTTGCGATTGCTGATGACAAAAGTTGACCGTTGGTGCTTTTTCATTTTTTAATGTCATGTCGTACGGTGAAAGTAATTTTTTTTCTTTTTTTCTTTACTTCCCAAGCGAAAATTAAATTAGTGACTAATTGATGATTTGTGATGAAAACCGATAGCAAGACGTAATAAAGTACAGGTTCGAGATTGAGAAGATAATTTTGAAACTGTCATTATTAGTTTTTTTTTGTGTATTTTTTAAGGGTTCAAAAAAAAAAAAAAAACAAAAAAAAAACTGATAATCACTATTATGAATTGTAATTTACTGAAACTCGTTGGAACAAAATTAAAATTTTCGATTCCATTTTGACAAAAAAATAAAAACCTATAACACCCAACGGAAAGATGAACACTAATATAATCTCAAACCCGGACTAGTTATTATATATATTTTTTTTTATAAATGATTAAATTATCTCATCAATAGTAAACAGAATCACTTACACTCCAGGGCCCACTTGTGCAGCTCGTTCAGAAAGTTTCCCGGCACCTCGTTGGCCCCGTCTTTGATCCTTTCAATCCTAAAAGCCGTAACGAGAATTTTGGCAAATGAAAAAAATCTACACCAAACATTGTACACCCGCTCACCTGTCGAGAAGCGCCTGGCTCGCCTCGTCTATCGTACCGATGTACATGCGCGCGGTGCGCGGCTGCAGCATCACCTGCTGCACTTTGCTGCGGAAATTATACCAGCCCTCTCCGTGACTGTAAATTTCGCGACCATCATTTTTAAAAGCATCATCGCTCCGAGAGCACCCCCACACACACAATCGACTCTCACAACTTTACTATACTCTGTTGCCCGAGCGGCGCGCGTTGTTCGTTTATTTCATTTTCATTTCTTCGGTGTGATCGACCCCGTTTCGTATATATATGTACGTAGCCGACGACAAAAACACGGTTTGGACAAAAACAAATAAATATATTTTACTGCCAAAATCATTCGCTCGGCAATACCTGCTCGTAAAATTATGCTATCGGTGCTCGTCTCGCTTCGACGATATATATGTATATCTAGGTAACGGTCATCGTTGAAAAGTGAGTTGAAATGCCATTCGCGTTGAAAACAAAAAATTTAATCGCTCCATGTGAGAAATTTTTTATAATATTTGCGTATTTGTCACGGTATTCCGAAAAATTCATTCACAAAAGAAAGAGAGGGACGTACGTTTCTCTATTCGATGGCAAACCGTTTGGCCATGTCCAGTGATAATATATCGGCTAATCATTTGAATCAACGTAACTTACACAAACCCACGTACTTGTCACCTGCACATGTATACAATACATTATCCGTATGCGAATAAAATCACACATCACTTGTTTGTTTTTTTCAATTCATCGTAATAAAAAAAAAAAAAAAAAAAAAAAAAAAAAAAAGGAAAAATTGTTTTCCCATCGTAATTGCATGTATCCTATATCTTCCCACGCATATACTTAATACAAAAGGTGCCTCACACAGCAATGACCCCCGGATTGCCGGCAAAGACGTCTCGTTTCAAGCAGTGCTTGTAAGCATGCAACGACGGCATCATGGGCCTGTGGGGCATCTTCTCCTCCTGGCGGAATATGCGCTCGATCTCGTCCGCGTCGTAAACAAAAACCATGTCCGGCCGGTTGAGGAGACCCTCGACCTTCACTATGTCGCCGTACTCCTCGTGCAGCCGCCGCGACACTTTGTCCACCTCGTGGATCTTGAAGTCACCTGCGCGAGCGAGTGGTTTTGGAAAAAAAAAAAATATATTTCGTCAAGCTTTTTACGCCTAGTTTGCAGTCAAGCGCATACTTTGATTTTTATATGTGATTTTAAAAGTTGGCCTACTCGTGCGCGCGTGACTGACGTGCATTTGTACCGCTATGGAGGATGAAAGAAAACACTTTGCGGGGTGATAAACACTTTTTAACAAACAAAAGTGAAAGTTGCTGTTACGCAAACAGTTTTTACTTATGATGATTGAATGTAATGCACGCGTGAGTGTGTGTGTATATACTATATATATATATATTTTTTTTTTCTTTTTTGTTTCAACTGCACGATTTTTTTTTCTTTGATGGAGCATTTTTTGCCTCGTGTATTAAAAGACTGTAGTTTGATTCTGACAAAGTTCCCATGGGTATGTCGGTTCTCGACGTTACATTGCATCCAATATATTTTCGTCTTGATTGACCAACAAAGCATGAAAGTGCACGAAAGAAAAATATGAAAAAGTGAATGTAATAGAATTGCACGTATACCTACCTACATACACCTGCATGTGTGTATAATATACAGCTCGATCATATAATAATATGTAACGTAAGATCTTACCGATGAAAGGTATAAATCTCCAGGTATTGCCCAACAGAGGTATGGGCGTGGGACCCGGCATTTCGGCGTAAGGCCGAACACTACGGCTGACCTCAGCTGCCAGAGTTTCCATCGTTCGACGCAACATTTTTTTTTTTTTTCCCCTGGTACGCTGCCGATCGATGCTTACGTATTTGCCGATTTTTAATCGATCGACACCACGACGATACTATATACTGTGTACAGATCAATGATTTTTAAGAACATATGTAGGTATACGGTGTAATACAATCGCACGCTGATTACCAGTCATTAACTGCGATTTGTTCGTTAACCAGCCCCGCGAATTTTCATTACTCGCTCCACGGCTAATTCACTGCACCGCGTTTTACGTTTTTACGACCCCAATTTCGTCACCTTATACTTACGCGATTACATAATTATATACATCCTACGGACATAACAAACGTACACCGATTTTTCCCCCCATGGACCGCACATGTACGTGTACCCACGCCCCCATGAAAATTACCATATCGGACATTCGGTCATTCAATTACCGTAACACCGTGTACGCGTTGCACACCCGCGTGTTTGTATATATACCTATGTCGTGTATGCACGCTGCGCGCTCTCGTCTTTTATTTTCAGCGAAAGAGGAGGGGTAGGGGGGTAACTTTTACCGCGCACCCTTACATAACGTACCCCGAGTTGAGCTTCTCGCGTTTGTTTGGCTCCTGCATCGCGATGCGCCTACTCTCACCCGTTAAAAAAAAAAAAAAAAAAATGGCCAATCGGTAAAAAATCGCCGGTTTCGAGACCCGGTTTTTTCGTTACGTAATAACGGCGCGTGTGTATACCTCCCCTCTTGCATACTGTTTGGATTCTGGCGTGTAGCTGTATATGAAACAGTTGGATCTTTGATTTACAAGAAAAGAGGAAAAAAAAAGTACGTCTCGAAAGGGATGCGCCGATGATGGTTGCGTTATGTAAAATGATGAGTTCTGCGAAAATCGGCAGGTGAGCACACACAACCGAGCGTGACTAAACATGTGCGTACATGTGCCGCAACTTTGGCCGGCGGCTTTCGCCGATTTTTCCGCGTTTCCGCGTTTGCAGTTTTCTTTCCACGAGCTCTTTCGCTTTCCACCGATGTAGGTATATGTACGTATTGCCCGTTAAACTGGATTTAATTGGCCTACTGTTTTCTGAGTGTGTGGTACATATATACACTGCTCAATCGGCCACTGTTATGTCACACTATACGTACACGAGTGTTACGGTAATCGGCGCGTGTTGTTGTAATTAATAACGTAATCATATTATGAATATATTCGAGCGCTCGCGGGTGAAAACTGTGTTATCGCGTCTCGTCTGTACGTATATATAACCAGTGTTGCGAAAGAAAATCTCTTTTGTTGGACGATACGGGGGATACGACGTGGTTTTCGAATCGGTAGCTGTGATGATTAAATAGTTGCGAAAGGAAACAATTTTCGTTGCGGCACCCGATCTTGGCGAAAAATCGGCGATCGTTTGGTAGATTTTTCAGAAATCCACAATGGACACTAAAATATTATTAGCACCGGGACTGATTTCGTTTTAGGTGATTGACCATTGTTTTACGTACCGATTTTTTTTTTTTTCTAGTGAATTTTCATATATAGCTATGCTCTTTCTGGGAATAGTGCGCGACGCGTGTATATACACGGAGGTTGAGAAAGTGACCATCGTGATTTGCACTTTGGTCAATAGAATCAAATAAAATTTCACTCATGTGTACTTACTTGTGTGCACGAGTGTTTGAACGGGTAATTTTGTCATTTTAGCAATACAATAGGACTAAAATTTGACTTTTTAAAATATATACACATACGTAAGGAAAATGATTAAATTGTATTTTTTATCCGTCAAATGCCGTTTAAACGATTTATTCCTTCCAAAAAAAAATTTTAAATGTTCAAAAGTACGTACCCCAAAAGCTGAAGGAAAAACTACTTATCTGTCAAGTATCCAATCACTGTTTTGTTCATCTTCTGAATTAAAACGTTTCAAAACAAAGTCAAAATTTAATCACCAAGAGGAGACGGGCAAACAAAAGGACAAAAGGAGCCCGCCGCGATTACTCGATAACGTACTTCTGAGGCGAACCGCGTGTGTGCAGGTATAGGAGCCGGAGGGACAAGCGCGCCTTTGGGAGTTTTTTTTCTCTCTCTCTCTCGAGCGCGCGCGCGAATACGAGCTCCTCGAGAGAGCGGGGAGTAATGAGAGATTGAGAGGGAGGAGTTGGGAAAAAATATGTATACGCGAACTGGAGAGGAGAAGGAGTGGAGATTCAAAACACATTATACATATATAAGAACAGCCTTACTTCTTCTTTAATGCTATATATTTATTTTTATGTGACGTAACTGGCGCTCCTCCTTTCATTCACTTAATTTCTCTTGTACACAGTTCGCTCATCCTTTACCCTCTACGTTCCCTCGTACCATTTGGATGTAGATACAGATGACAGCTTGTTTTTGTAACTGTTGACGAGTTTGCTGAAGTTGATCTCATCGGCGTCTGGCTTCATTTTGCCCTGCTTAGGCTGAAAAAAATTTTTTTTAACGATAGGGTCATTATTATCGAGACTTTTGAGCACACACGAGTGTACATGTACACACACTCGCCCAATATGGCTACAAGTACTTACTTTTGCCTCCTTTCGGCTGGCCGCCTGCTCAAATTTCTGGGCCGTCATTTTTTTCGCGCCCTTTTTCTGTTTTTTTTGCCGTTTCAGATTTTCCTCGTGCATTTTGGCCTGCTTTTTAAGGAAAAATTTACCGATCATTCCGGTATTGCCTGGTCTACTCGTCACACCGGCGAATTTTTTGACCTCCTCGGACTCGCTGACACCGAGAGGCCTACTACTATTTTTGTGCCGCTTGTTCGGGTTGGGCTTATTTTCTTGGGCTTTTTTTGAAACCTTTGACTGCGCGTTGCCGTAGTCGTCACCGTCCGCTGATCTTTTCCACGTTGGATTGTGTTGAAGACTTTTTTCGTGGCGCTTCTGCTTAGCGTTGACCATCACTCGGTTTTCTATGGAGAAGGCGACGATTGGCCGCTGCGGGAGGAAAAAGACAACCGATTTCAACAATTACTCACGCGTACAGGACTCAGCTTTGCTTTCAGCCTTACACAAGCGTGACCCATAAAGTTCGTGTACTTTGAGGTAATAAAAACTGCAAGTGCTTCGTGTGTTTGTTAAAAAAAAAAAAAAAAAAAAACGCGCTTGTACAATACATATCTAACTAAGCGCCAAATTAGCGCTCAGAGTCGTAAACGGGCGTGCTGTTTGATTTTTTTTCTCGTTCAAAGAATCGCACGCGAAAGGCTTTACAACTCCTAGGAATCGCATCGCTCGCGCGTATTACGCCAGCAGTGCGGCTCTCTTTGCCATCAAGGCACGTGCGTGCAAGTGGGCGCGTTAGCGGGCAAATAGTAAAATGTTTGCTCTAGCCTACGTCACCTACCTGGCCTTTCGTGAAAACGTTGGGATTGTTGTTGAGGCTGCGGAGCGCCCTCAGAGCGTCCTCGTGCTTGCTGAAGGAAACGAAGCCGTGCCCCTTGGACTTGCCGATACCATTGGCGTCTAGATTCTTCAAGTCCCTCATGACTCTTGCCTGTAATTTTCAGTTTACCTTTCCTTATTTTCATTTTTTTTTTCCCTCCCCAAAAATTTGTTCTATAATAGGATTACCTCTGTAATCACAGCTCCCGAATCACTGTGTTTTTTCACAAGCTGTCTGAGCTTAGAGTCGTCGCAGTTATCTGGCAAATTATGGATGACCAAGCGCACCCTTGAGACAAACATGTTGAGGTTGCGCAGCATTTGCGATTTCCACTTTTCCAGCTGCAATCGCTTGGTCATATCCACGGCCGATACGTCCTGAGCTGCAGGGGAACTGGCAAGTACAACTGAGGATAGAAATAGATCGATTACCGCGAGAACAATGAATACAAAATTATCGGATATAATTTAGAGACAGTGGTTTTTAAGATTATTTTTAAACCATTATTTTGGGTTTGAATCTTTTACATTGTGAGGCAGTTATTTTTTTTCAAGTACAAACTTGCCTCCTTCCTTTATGAGATAAAGATTTCTGGTATCCTTAGCTTTGTGTTTTTTCTCCGCGTTCATTTTATTTACATCGTTTCTGTGTAGAGCTCTGTGGGGATCAAGGACTTGATTGTGTAGCTGTAATTCTGTTCCTGCAGCTAAGCATTTTTCAGCATCTTCGACATTCTTGAAAGATTAAAAAATTAAAATTTCAATGAATTGAATGTAAAAAAATTTTAATTCCTGCAAGAGGTCTTACCACAAATTTGACAAAAGCAGTACCCTTTGAGTGCTCAGTCAGGCGATCCATGCAAACGAGAGCATAGTATACAGGACCAAACTGTAGCATACATTGCTTGAGATCCTCATTGGTGGCAGAGAATGGAACGTTTTTTATGAATATAGTTTTGCCTTCGCTAACATCGTTGGAAACACGACGCGGATGTGAGGATGCTACGGACGAAGTTACGGATTTTTCATCATCGTACTTCATTTTTGCGTCTATGTCGTCATCCTCATCCTCATCTTCCGCATTGTCGTCGCTTCCTTCATCACTATTTTCATCACTTTGCTCACTATCACTATTTTCTTCATCACTTTCATCTTTGTGTACAACTTCGTCGTCACTTTCTTTTTCTTCCTTTATTTTAACTTTGTCTGGATCAAAATTCTCATTTTTCTCTTCTTTCACAATTTCTAACTCATCGTCGTCATCTCCTTCTTTTCTTTGACTGTCTGGTTTTTCATTTTGCTTTTGGAATTTATCTTTAGGTATAGCCCAGTCTACAACCATGGGTCTATTGAGTAGACTTTGCATATTTTCATGAAGAATAGCTTGAGACGCACACTGAACTTTATCAAACTGCATAAAGCACACACCAACGGGTCTTCCATCTGACTTTTTCAGAAGATTGATGTCATCTATTTTTCCGTACTTGCCAAAGTGATCTTTCAGCAAATTTTCAGTAACTGTGAAAGGCAAATTTCTGATAACGATCCTCGACTTTTTTTGCCTTTTTTTTTCTTTTTGAAGTTTTCTCTGCTCTGTTTTTGATAACTGATTCTTCTTTCCAGTCTTTTTTTTCTTCTTTTCACAAACCTCAATTTCCTCTGTTTTTTCATGACTTTCTTTTTCAGTGCTTGGTTCATGAACATCGTTTTTTTCCAGAACTTCTTCATCCTTGACTTCCTCTTTTTTTATTTTTTCAGCAAATTCTGACTTAGGAATAGCCCATTCGCTACTAATCGTTCGTCCTGCAAACATTAACAATGATTAATAAGCAATGAACCACCTGTTTAGGTAATAAATGGCTTACCTAAAAAATTAGATTTGTTTGTTTTGAAGATAGCTTTGGAGGCATCCTCAACTTTCTCAAACTGCACAAATCCACATCCTACCAGTTTTCCATCTGGCCTTTTCAACAAATTCACCTCCTCAAGTTTCCCAAATGGCTCATACAACCTACGTATATCCGCTTCCGTAGTCTGAATTCGCACATTAAGATAATAAAATGAATTCTCATAAGATGATATTTAACTGAATGAGATAAAAAAAACACTTACGTTGAAAGACAGGTTACGAACAACAATCCTTGCTTTTTTCAACTCATTATTCTCAGGCTGAAAGTTATTATAGCGTTTTTTCACTTTACCAGTCTTCTTTTTAAATTTATAGGTGTTTGAGAGCTGTTTCTTGAATTGTGCTACAAATTTACAAAATTTGGTTTGTTAAGAAAATTAACATAACACGTGCATTATGCATTTGTATCACGCACTTATTAATGAAAAATGTGCAAAAAATTTACCTTTTGCCATGATTCAAGTAACAGCAGTTAATAGTAAAATAAAATTAGCAGCGAAAACAGTAATAAATTAAAAAGAAACTGCACAAAACTAATAGGTTACTCGAAACTCTATAATTAGATTGGCAAACATGTATATATATATATAAGTGCAGGGGCCAGAGGGGGCGAAGGTCACGTGGTATACATTCTCCTTCTGCCTTCTGCTACAACTACACGTGGTTTGCATGGTTTTTTTGTGCACTATATGTGCAGTGTTGTCACGATTTGTTGGAGGTTATAAATTAGCCGGAGGTCAGAGACATCATCGTCTACACGAGAAAAATACTAAAAATATTGCTCACAAAATGCACAACGACGATGAACAAGAGAACGTGAGGCGGGTGCTCGCTCAATTCAAATCTGACACCGGGGAGGTGTTGCCTGGTGGCTTGCTAGACTTGCCGATTGATATTACAGTTGACAAGCTACAGCAGATCGTGAATGCACTGCTGCAACAAGTCGAGGATCCCGTGCCGTTTGCTTTTTATGTCGATGACGCACAGATTCAGGATTCGTTGCAAGAGAAACTCAAGGACGTCAACACCAGCGAAGATACCGTGGAAATCGTTTATCAGCCGCAGGCTGTCTTCCAAGTGAGAGCTGTCACTAGGTGCACTGGCACGCTCGAAGGTTTGTTTTTTGCTTTAATTTTTTCTTCTTCACGAGACTATCGGCTCTTATTTCGCGTTCTAGGGCACAAGGAAGCCGTCGTGTCGGTGGGATTTTCGCCCAACGGTCAAACACTGGCCAGCGGTTCAGGTGACACGACTGTGAGATTGTGGGATGTGTTCACGCAGACTCCAAAGTACACGTGCGAAGGACACAAGCATTGGGTACTGTGCGTGTCCTGGTCGCCCTGTGGTACAAAAGTAGCGTCAGCCTGCAAAAATGGAAGGATCATACTCTGGGATCAGGACACAGGCAAGCAGCTCGGCAAGGACATGGTTGGGCACAAGATGTGGATCACATCCTTGTCTTGGGAACCTTATCATCGCAATCCAGAGTGCAGAAAGCTTGCCAGTGCTTCTAAGGACAATGACATTAGGATATGGGACACCAAGCTAGGCAGGACACTGTTGGTTCTATCGGGACACACGAAAAGCGTCACGTGCATCAAGTGGGGTGGCAAAGGTTTGATTTATTCAGCTTCACAGGACAGGACGATCAAAGTATGGAGAGCTGAAGATGTAAGAGATTTTCTGTCATAAATATATCAAGTGTACGTAGAGCTTATATGCGTTATTTTAAATTGTACTAATTTTAGGGAGTTCTTTGCAGAACACTCGAAGGCCATGCACATTGGGTTAATACCTTGGCTTTGAATGTCGATTACGTTCTCAGAGTTGGTCCTTTCTGTATAATAAAATCCAAGGTGAAAGAGGAACTCAGTCCTCAAGAATATGCTCTGAAAGAGTATGAATCGGTGGGAGAAGAAAAGCTTGTGTCTGGTTCAGATGACTTTACCTTGTTCTTGTGGAAACCCGAAAAAGAAAAAAAACCACTTGGTTTGTACAAAACTTTTTTTCTCTACCTTGTTTTTAAATGTAATCATCAAATATATATTTTATCTTTAGCTAGGATGACGGGCCATCAGCAGCTCATCAATGATGTTAAATTTTCTCCCAATGGAAGGATAATAGCATCTGCGTCCTTTGACAAATCTATAAAACTCTGGGATTCCAGCAGTGGTAAATTTATTTCGTCCCTCAGAGGTCACGTGCAAGCTGTTTATTCGATAGCCTGGAGTGCAGACTCCAGACTTTTAGTGAGTGGCAGTGCCGATTCCACTGTCAAAGGTACTTCTCAATCAATACTCTATTAATGTACTTATTAAAATTTCTAATGTTTTAATTATGAACTAGTTTGGAGCATGAAAACAAAAGAACTGAACCAAGACTTACCAGGACATGGAGATGAAGTTTATGCCGTTGATTGGGCACCTGATGGAATCAGAGTGGCATCTGGAGGAAAAGACAAAATTTTAAGGCTCTGGCAAAATTGAGTATGCAGTTTTTTTTATAAGTTTTATACATTGTTTTATTCATTATTTTTCAGTTTTATCCAGCAAAACACGTGTATATATGCAATTCATTAACTTTCGACGGTAAATAAAAATATTGTACATTATTGCCATTACATAAAAAATAACAAAAATACACTTATATGAGTGAAAACTCTCGATAATCTTTTTGTTAAGTATATAAAAATATAAACCTATAAAATAGTCATTTTTTTGTAAAAAAAATCACTCGAAATTCATAACATCATTTGTATTCTTATTGCCATTCATGATTTAACAAACAAACATTTGTCTCAAACAAACGATGAACACCAAGCATAGGCATTTTCAAAAAGTCTCTGCCATGGCGAAGAATTGTATTTCCAGTCAGTAGGTACCCATGGTAATTGCCATGATTGAGTGCATCTTTCTGGATGTGGCATCATAGCCAAATGACGACCATCAGGTGAACAAACACCGGCAATTCCCTCTACAGAACAAATAATAAAAATTCGGTTTCAGTTGTCGGAATTTTTTTTTTTTTTTTTTTTTAATCTGTAAGATAAGTTTTTACGCACCAACACTGCCATTTGGATTCATTGGATACTTTTCAGTTGGATTGCCGTGATCATCAGTGTATCTGATCGCCAAGCAGTTCTGCTTTTTTAATTCATCAAGAACTTTTGCGTTGCGGAATGTAAACTTTCCTTCTCCATGTGCCACCCAAATACCAAAAACAGTGCCTTCCATTCCTTTTAGCATAATAGCTGGCGATTTTTCAATTCTAACCGTGCTCCAACGGCATTCAAAACGTTCAGAATCGTTATGATCCAAAACGACATTTGGTTTTCCTGAAATAAATGTTCATTTGATGACTGACACATTGATAAACTTCAATTGATTATAAAATTACCGTTCGTAGTATCGCCGATCCATCCTAATAAGCTCATAAGTTGACAACCATTACAGACTCCTAAACTAAAAGTATTAGGGCGGGCTATAAATTCTTGCAGCTGCTTCTGCAGGGACGGATGGAATAACAAGCTGGCGGCCCAGCCTTTAGCCGAACCCAATACATCTTAAAAAAAGCATTGAAACATGAGTTCTTAATTCTAGATTGAAACAGAAAATTTTATTACATGCATGCATTACCAGCATAGCTAAAACCACCAGGAAATACAATTCCTCTAAATTTATCCAGCGATATTTCGTTATTTAAAAGATCTTGCATGGTAACATCCCATACTTGGAAGCCAGCATTTACCAACGACGCTGCCATTTCTCGATCTCCATTCGTACCTTCTTCGCGAAGGACAGCAACTGGTATCTCGGCTGTAAGTAAACATACGTTTTATATTTCATGGAAAAAAAAATATGATGCAATAACAAATCAAATTACTCGTACGTTTAAACTTTGACGTTAGTGGAACATCTGGGTCAAAGGACAATTTGTAAGCCGGGCTCGATCTGTCTACAAAGTTCTTGTACTCCTGAGCTGCGCAGTCGGCATTAGTTTGACGCAGTTCTAAATGGTAACTCGTCTCCTCCCACATGTTCATCAGCTCGGAAATAGAAGACTCTAGCACAGACACTCTGTTGACGCTTACATGTGCCTGGAAAAAAAAAGGAAGAATACATTATCGTGAAACGACAAAATATTGATGTTTTGAACTTACCTTTGAATGAAGTCCGAGTCCAACGGATTTTCCAATGATGTGAGCAACGGGAGCGTTGAATTGCTTAAAAACGTCCAGTACGTGTTTGACGTCGTCTTCGCGAACTTCGAGAACCCAGCCAATTTCCTCGGCAAATAAGATTTCGTGCGGGCTACCTTCTCTGTGATTAATGGCTACATTGATTCCCGAAATTCCAGCGAAACCCATTTCCAGAACGCAAGTGATCAGGCCACCGTCGCTAACATCGTGACCCGCCAGCACTTTACCCTCTATTAAAAAAAAAAAAAAATTATTACTCCAATAAACATAAGATTAATCGAATAACTATTAAACACACCTTCGATCAAACTTTGCGTGGCCTTGAAAGCATATTTTATCGTCGTCGCGCTCTCTACGTCAGGAACCATATCGCCCAGCTGATTGTAAACTTGAGCGAAAGCTGTGCCACCGAGACGGCTCTTACCGTCAGACAGATCGACGAAAATAAGAAAGCCTTCTTCGCCAATTGAAGGTGCTTTCAAATCCGGAGTAATTACCTGTGTCATTGAGTTACAGTTAATATTCATAATGATTTGTTTCATTATTTTCAAGTTACCTGGCGAATGTCAGGACAAGGTGCGTAACAGGAGACAACGAGTGTTCCAGGAGCCTTGACGACCTCGCCCTTGCCCACGCGTGCTGCCATACTCAGGGAATCTTTGCCACCATCGACGGCGATGCCAAGCTCTTTCATGACATTGCACATAGCTGTACAGGCATCGTACAGAGCGGCTCCTTCACCTGGAAGCTTGGCAGCCCACATCCAATTGCCACTGCACTTTACATCCTGATCAGCAACAATTTTTCGGTAATTATATCAACTTTCAATGGATCATTTGATTTTTAATGATAAAATTCATAAAGAACCTCGAGCTCGGAGATTTTAGCAAATACGAGATTCGAGAGTGCTTCGGCTACGGTCATTCTTGCACCGGCAGCTGCGTTCACCAAGCCCTTGATCGGCTGCTCTCCGATGGAGCTTGCAATGCCAACCTGATGATGGAACAATAATTCATGAGGAAACACTTTTTACTTGCTGCTCAAAATCGAAAAAAGTATATACTTACCGTCGAAAAGTGAGAGAGCGCAACAACAGCTACGTCGGCTAGCGGCGTGTGGAGCGGACCGACGCACTGCTGCTGAGCTACCAGGCCAGTGACGCAGCGGTCAACTTTGTTGGTCAGGTATCGCTTACTTGCTACCGATGGCAGTCTCAAGACTCGGTCCAAAGCTGCCTCGATCGTCGGCTTGTTGCTCAACTCGATGCGTCGCAAATGTACTTTTGTTCTATCCAAATTGAATCTCTTCAAAGTAAACAAATGAAAATATATTTATTCCACCGTGAACTTGTGTACAAATACCCTGCAAACTTACCTTTTGCGGCATTTTTCCAAGGACCAGTTCGAGCTCGAGATTCACGGGGTGGCGTTGCTCGGACGCGTAATTCTCATCCATGTATTTAGTGGCATCGCAGTCGTCTTCTTCCGAAAGGATGATCTTTCCATTTCCGGTGACGGTTCCGACGAAATTGATCGGGCACCTCTCGCGCGCCGCTATTTTTTCCAGCAGAGGCACGTCCTCTTTCTTACACAAGATCGCGTCGTTCTCTTGGTACTCCGCTCCCCACAGTTCCAAGGTACTGATACTCGGATCGCCGAGATCGAATTTCTTGGAGAATATGACGGCCCCGCTCGGCTCCACGAGCTCTTTGAGTACGTTGCCGTTACCCCCGGCGCCCTGATCGTGAATGCTTAGAATCGGATTCTTTTCTCCCATTTCCATGCAAGCGCGAACGACGCGATTCAATTTCTGCTCCATTTCGGCGTCTCCTCTTTGCACCGCTCCGAAATCCAATTCCGACTCGTTGTCGCCTTGAACCTGCAATTTTTTTTGTCACCTTGTCATGATTGCTCTTGTTTATTTTTTTTACTTGTAAAAAAAAAACAATGAAACATACTTCAACTGAGCTTGCTGCTCCGCCACCAACTCCGATCCTGTAAACTGGACCACCGATTTTGACGACTTGCATACCTAAAAAAATAATACGCCAATTATTTTAGTACTTCAAACCTTAGAGCTGACTACATTTGTTATTACGAAAAAAAAACTACCTGGCTTTGGTGGCAGTTTTTCCGTCATATCGGCTTCCATTGAGCCAATACCGCCACTGAACATGATCGGTTTGATCCACTCTCGTCGCTGACCCGCGTGATCTACCATACCGCACGAACGAGCAAATCCTAAGATCACTGGCTCGCCAAATTTATTACCATAATCAGATGCTCCATTACTCGCCTCGATCAAGATTTCAAGTGGCTGGGCCATGTTACTGGGATAGATGGAATTTTTTTCGCCTTGTGCTTCTTCCCATGGCAACTTGTACCCTAATGATTATCATAGATTTTATTTCATGTAGTAGAAATGTGTCTTACAATATTAATTCATAAGTTTACCTGGAATATGTAAATTTCCGACAGAGTAGCCAGCCGTGCCAGCGATGTAGTAACCGCCTCTGCCGACACCTTGAACGTCGCGCAAACGCCCGCCGGTTCCAGTTGTTGCTCCGCTACATAAAAACAGAGGGAGTATTATACTGTGAAAAATAAACATAAATATTTCGAAAAAATGATTGGGTTGAAATTTCACCTGAATGGCGCAACACCCGTTGGAAAATTGTGAGTCTCGGCTGTGAAAATTAAGTGCTGTTTACTGTCGTCAATGTGGAAAGAACTTGGTGCATTTGTCTGATTTGGGCGCAATGTTTTGACATCGAAGCCTTTGATGGCACTGCTATTGTCACTGAATTTAATTACATTATTATTATTCGAATTGTTCTGAGAGTCTATAATCATGTCTATGAGAGATTTGTCTTTTTCTTTTCCATCAATGACCATTTTTCCTTTGAAAAACCAGTGTCTACTGTGCTCGCTGTTCGACTGTGCTAAATCAAAGCACTCTACGCTTGTTGGGTTTCTTTTGAGTTTGTCCTGGAACATGTTTGTGTAAAAATCCAGATCCCAATCGTCAAATGCTAAACCTGAGCCATAAAACTAGTTTATTGCAAATTCAATTGATAATACAAAAGAGTAAGTCATCAAAAAAAGTTAAGCACCTAGTTTTGCATTGACGTCTTCCAAAGCTTTTCTTCCGTGCTTCAGCACATTTACTTCAAACCACTCTTCTGGTCTAAAACCATGGTCAAAAGTCTCAATTGGCTTGACGTATCTGCACTCTGTCATCCTATCATGGAGAACATCGACGATTTTGTTTTCAGTGACCTTGTCTAAACTGGCAGTGGTGTGAATCAAGTATCTTGTGGATACTTCGATTCTCCTCACACCATTTACTTGGACAGCCTTACAAATGGACACGGCATTACTCGAGAAAGCAGTGGAAAAGTTTAATCTGTGGAGAATTAATAATTGTTAGAAGTAAAAAAGAAAAAAAAAGAAATCAAAAGTCAAGTGTACCTAGGTCCAATTTCGACTACAAGTTTGTCACTATCAAATTCGCTGGAATCTGCCAACTGATTGGGATAAAAAGGCGAGGTGAGAATCCATTTAAGCACATCAATTTCTTCTTGACTGAGGGCATCCTTTGACTCGATGTAGTAGCATAGCTCAACCTGGATATCTTTGACCTTATCCGTTATCTTGACAATACTCTCCAATTTGCTTCTCAGCTGGCTGGTCTTTAATCCAGGATTCTTGTAAAACTTCAAAATGACCATCTTGACTGAAAAGCACACAAACAAACTCAGTACTCTGAATCAACAGGTGTCCCCGGAGAACTTGGTTGAACTTTTTCGCAAAATACAGTGGTAGTATGTCTCTTGGACGATTCAATGGAGCATTTTAAGTGTAAAAGACCCCCCAGAGATCTATACGAGAGAAAAAGGTCAAAGCGTCCTATCAAGTAACAGGCCTTATCGCGTGCGTGCGGTGTCTCTGCTTATGTGCAAAACATTTGCAAGCAGCTTGCGAGATAGCCGTCTTACGCAAGTTTAAGGCAACGAATGGAGATACATATATTATATTACATTTACCTTATTTCGTAATTGTTTTGCGGCTTTGTCGAACGTGAAAACCTGTTTTTCCGAAGCGCTCGTCAATCGTTGACTGGTTTTCGTATTATATTTCTCAAAAATATTTCCTTCAGGTTTTTTACCTATTCGTACGTATGTACTTAATCTTATACATTTCACAAATAACAATTTCTAATACAATGAAAAAAAATCTTAATTCCGCGCCTAAACTTATTCGACAGCAGTTTGATTTTGCACTAATGTGGATTACATACTATATCGGTACATTTAAATTGAATTTGAACGGGTAACGGCGCTTTGAGATGGATTTATTGTTTCGCAACTGAAATAAATATTTTGATATGTCTTTTCAATAACAACCACGCATATAAAGGTCTTTGGTAATTTTTGAATGTGTCAAGTAATCATCGGTAACTCACCGTTATGCTGTAAAACTGTAAATGTGTACTTGTGATTGATGTGTGGATTACCTGATGTTAATCTATTTATCAAGAAGTTTTGGTTTGTGTTGTATTATATAATTATGTGTATGTACACTGTACACTTGTACAGTATCACGTAACACGTGCTCTTGCTCCAAAATCTTCCCGCTTCCGTCACCTTTATAAACTACAGATAAATACTTTTTCATCTCTAAATACTTTAGACACAATACTTTCATTTCTCATATTTTCCCTATTAGAGATTTACAGCTGGCTTTTTATCATAGCTACGTCAGCTTCAAAGGATGGCGTTAGATCATTGGATGTATTTTAAAAATTGTTTTAAATAAATTCAGTGAAGAGCGCGTGATTTTGCCTATTTTCTGTCTTTTTCTTTTTAATTCTGCTGGTCTGCTGGAGAGAATTTCTCAGTAGGTAATGTAGGTGCAGGTATGTATCCTTTTTTTTTCAGAATTCGTTTTGGAGAGACAAGGGAGAGACCAAATCGATTTTTACTATGATGGCTCATGTCTCATGTTTCTAAACGTAAACAGAAGTGGAAATCGCCAAAGACATTTTAGTCATTACTTACATTCTTAATTAAGTACAGTGCGCATATAACGTTTTTAATTTATCAAAATACACCTGAAGGCACATGGTATATTACAAAGTCTTTCTTTGCAGGCATAAAATTTTAATGATCAAGTCATGGTCTTACCATTAGTATGTGTACTTGTGTTTCCAGTTGCCATTGTTTTTATTGTGAGAGCTTTTCATACGATTATTTTCAAGAACGGTAAGAGGCCAGATCATTTAAAGAGAACAAAACCAGCAAAGACACTTATTGTACTTGGTTCTGGTGGGCATACGACTGAAATTTTGCGCATTGTTGAACAGTTGAATGGAAAAAAGTATAAGCCAAGAATATACCTTAAAGCTAAGAGTGACGAAATTAGTGAGAATAAAGTCAAGCAAGTAGAGACTAATACAAAAGACTACAAACTCATTGACATATCAAGAAGTAGAGAAGTTGGTCAATCATATTTGACATCTATTTTGACAACTGCTTCCTCTGTTATGCAATCTTTTCCCCTGATTTGGAGTGAAAAGCCAGATTTACTACTCTGCAACGGTCCTGGAACGTGTATTCCTCCGTGTTTGGTTGCTTTTTTTTTTAATTCTCTTTTCCTTACGAATACAAAAATTGTTTTTGTTGAAAGTTTTTGCAGAGTCAAGACTTTTTCACTGTCAGGAAAAATTTTGTACTTTTTAGCACATCACACTATTGTCCAGTGGCCATACTTGAATGGTGCCAAGTACTCCAGGAGTATATTTGTAAATTAACGTAAGATTTATATTTTCCTCAAAGGAAAAACAAACAAAGATTCTCTTTCCACCAGTTTGTACTACGTATAGTAGCTGACAATGGCTCATATTATTTCCAAAATAATTCGGTGGAATCACCTTCATGAAGATTTAAATGAACAGTCACCTGATGAGTTAAAGTTACATTTGAACAAAATATTTTTACGACTTAACAAGTTTTATGAAAATAATGCGTGAGTGTTATTCATTTGATTGATAAAAAAATGTTTACTACATTACTAAATAATTTTACATTTTTAAAGAGAAGAAATCCCAGCTAAAAAATCCAAAAGTACTTTGGAATGGGTAGATAATGACTTATTAACAGTGGAAGCTTGTCTTGATAGAATTTGGGAAATGCTTAACTCTGGTTACTGGAAAGACGTTCCGGTTAATTATAGATATTGCTATTCCCTTTGCAGTGTTTTTAAAGTAATACTTTTGAAAGTCAACTGATTTTTCAATGAAATACATGTACATTATTTTTTGTTTTTGAAGTCAATACTGTTGGGATTAACAATAAACACAGAGAATGATCATGCCTTAACAGTTGGACAAATCAAGGAAATTATTCAACAAATCGATAAGGGAATTCTTCTAGGAGCTCCTTTGCCCAAATCACCAAATCTATTAACCCAAATTGCTTCAGAATTAAATCAACATTATTCTGGTATGTGTGAAATTAAAAAATTCGTTTACAATAGAATGCAATGTTTTAAGGATTATTAATTTCAGACATATGCAAGACAAATGAAAATTTACATGAAATCAAAATCGACAAAGAAAGTTTATGCACCACACTTTTTACTGGTTTTTCATCGATTGTCCACCTTACCAAGCCTTCAATGGAAACCTTTTACTGCGACATTTTCCGACCTAAGGTTCCCGCTCTATTAGAAGGTGAAATTCATAAGTGTTTACGAATATTTCACAAACAAGTTTAAAAAATCTTCTATTAGGTTGCATTTCATACTGGCCATCCTTAGAGCTGTGGAAAGATACTGATTATCTTCAAAGAGTAGCAGGTACTCGAACAGTACCAATTGAAATTGGATCTCGTTACACTGAGGACGATTGGGCGCAAAAATTAGTAATGTTCTCTGATTTTCTGAAAAATCACGTAACACAAAAAAATGATAAAGTCGGTTATTTAGCTCAGCACCAACTTTTTGATCAGGTAGGAATTTTTTCTTCAAAAGTCTTGATGTTACCGTTATCTACGAAATGACACTTTTTATCTTTTAGATTCCAGAGTTAAAAAATGATTTTTTTGTGCCGGATTATTGTAGTTTTTCAGACAAAGAAGAAAGTGATGATTCGCCAGATATAAATGCTTGGTTTGGACCACAGGGAACTGTATCGCCATTACATTACGACCCAAAAAATAACTTACTATGTCAAGTAATAAGTTGAACCTTAAGTGTAAATTTAGGACAAGCATGATTTAATTATAATTAAATGAATTTGCATTGCGCTTTGCCAACAGGTTTTTGGATACAAGAGGATAGTGTTGTACAGCCCAGACGATAGCAAAAATGTATATCCATATGAAACTCGTTTATTATGCAATACAGCTAGAATCGATCCATACAATCCAGACTTCGAAAATTATCCAAATTTCCAAAAAGCTACAGGTTACATGTGCTATTTGAAACCTGGTGATATGCTATTCATTCCCCCAAAGTGGTGGCATCATGTCACGGGACTTTCACCAAGTTTTTCAATAAGTTTTTGGTGGGAATAACTTTATTGGGCTGTGTTACTTTTTTATTTTAAGTGTAATAAAAGTTCTTGAACACAAATAAATATTTATTATTTTTTCACAGACTTTTTACTTCATTCATTATTATTATTAGTATAAATATGAAAGTGAACAAGCATTAAACTTACATTTTTAAGCTGAGCAATAAAATATGACATCGACTTGCATTTAAGATATAAAAATACTACTATTAAACTAACTTAAATTTTTTGAATTAAATGAAAAATAACCATAAATTACTGAAGTAGTTAAGCTGGAAGAGGTGGAAATTCGTCAGGTTCAGTTACAGGTGCTCGACAATTGGGGCATGTACGTTGGGTTTTAAACCAGGATTTGGCACACTACAATGGAAAAAAAAAAAAAATTAGTACTTTTGATCATTATTAGAGTTATTTTAAGCATAAAAACTCACGTGATAATGAAAAGAATGTCGGCAGTCCAATGTATAGCAGTTGCTTCTTTTTACTTGATTCGTGCAAATCGAACACTCTAGGTCTAAACTACCAGCCCATTTTATTTCTTCAGTTGGTAGAGTATTCCAAGTTTTTTTTGGAGAATTTAAGGAAGGTCGTACGATACTTGGGCCCTTATTGACGTTGGAATCTATGACCATAGAAATGTTTCAAGTAACAAACAAATTTATTTTTAAAAAAACTCTCAACTTACAAGATGTTGAAGACCCCGAGTCTCTATGAACACGCTGTAGACCTAAAATAAAAAGAAAATTGTTAAGTGTGAAAAATTTAAATGTTGATAATTGGTAATAAAATTGTAGGAACCTGGCAACTTGGCAAGAGTTTCGGACGTGTCATTCGGAAAATATAGTATCAAATCTAAATTAACATAAAATTATTGAGGTAAATTTAATTACAAACTACCTGATTTTCGAAATAACAATTTTTATTTACTAAGAGAGTTATATAAAATCCCAAAGGATCGTACAACTGTAGAATATACATTTTGCTTGATATGTAAATGCTTAAGAATTTACGGATGAAAGAAAAGTGAAAAATTATGTCGTAGTGAGTAAATACTTTCTAGAATCGCGAAAAAAATTTTTTTAAGGATTCAGTTACTATGTAAAACATTATGAAAATAAAAAACATACGTATGTGTTGATTATTTGCAAAAAATTCTTCAGCTTCATCAACGATTTGACCAACAGTCAAACCTTGTAGTGTGTTGTTGTGTCTTTTACGTACTTCCGAAATAATAAAAATTATATCGGACCTTAAAATTATATTTTTAAATAAGATAATCAATAAATTATTTAATTTTACAAATTACCGAACCCAACTTACTCTACCGTTCCCGGATATTTCGCCCTTAATCTTTTAACTAACGAGTCAAGGTTTGGTCTTTTTTGTCGTGGTTGATCCTCACTGTCCTGCCTTTAATATTGAAATTGTTATTAAGTAATGTTTCGAATGTATTAAATCAATCAGTCTGATCATTTTTGTAAATACTCACAGTAGGTACTTCATTACCAAATTTTCTTCAAACTCTTTTTCATCTTTGGCAGAAATGGTGACCACACTTTTGACGGAACTATTAGAATGTTGTTGGTTTTGATGAATATTTTCATCTTCATTCTGATTACTGTTGTAAACTTCAACACGCTTACGTCCATTTAATATTTCTAATTGATCTTCCCAGTCATCTAAATTATCACTAGGTATTAGTGATCGTTTTTGTTGGTTGCTTTTATGACTAAATTCATTGATAGGTTCTTGCGAAGGCATCGGTTGTTGCATTTGTCGGTGTCCCTTGTAATTTAAATCATCACTAGATTTTTTTAAAGACAGAAGCTTTTGTTGGTTTTCCAAGGGAAGTAAATCGTTACTAGATTGTTGAAAAGGCACTTTTTGTGGCTTAAGCCAACACATGTTATTAATTTGTGTTAGCGAAGTTATATGTTGTTTTTGCTTATTTTCCGCGGAATACAAATTATTACCAGATTTTACGGGAGGAGTTAATTGTTGTTGGTATTGATTAAAGTTGCTGCTAGGTTTTTTAAAAGACTGCGATTGCTTTTGTTGCTGCTGCAGATCGAAAGGCTTTAGGAAAGATATTGCTCCTTTTTTTTCCGAATCATGTAAATTTTTTGCTTCTCTTCCCCATATCTGAGAAAACTTGTGTTTCGTTTCTTCCTCAACGGCTTCTTCAATATCGGAACGATCAGTATCACCTAACATGCTCTCAGTAGCATACGGTATTTTGCTGCCATTGTGCTCTATGAAACAATGAACATCATCCGTCGGTTTTGTGGCATGCTCAGTTGATTCTGATTCAATAAGAGTTATTTGCAATGAACTATTTTGTGCCTCAGTGGTTAAAGACACATCACTTGCAATACTTTCTGGGTATGTAACTGAAACTAATACATTTATTCTTACTTATTTATTTATTTGTAAAAAAAACAGGATTTTCTCCAATACATGTCAAGTTGTGTGCAAAATAATAAGGCACTGAAGAAATACATGAATTAGCGACTTGAGTCAGTTATAAAATTTATAATTAAGTATGAGGGCTGCAAAATGATACTACGATAAGTAATATTTAATAAATTTTGTTGACAAGTAATTATTTTTTAGTTTAGAAAAATCTGAGATGACTGTACTTTGTTAAGAAAAAAAAAAAAAAAAAATTATCAATTGCTATGTAAATTATCTGGTAAATCTCATATGAGAAACACAAGATATGCCATACCAATAAATAAAAACACAAAAATAGTTAAGTACAAATTTTTACAGTACTCATGACGCTATGCTGAAACAATAACTACACTCCTATTAGAAATTTTTTTTGAAACTGTTCAAGGCGTGGAATTGCTAGACGAACCTTTGTTTTCCATTTCAAGCTTCTTCATTTCCTCCTTCATTTCTTGAAACTCCTGTTGCCAATTCTGTAGCTGTTGTTGAACTTGTTGTTGCACTTGCTTCTGTAATTGTATCTGCATCTGCTTCTGTATATCCTGTATCTGGTTATATTGATTAAACGGAATAACCATTGGTTGATTGACGTGAGAAAATGTGTTAAAACCCGCCGTTGTAGGAGGGCGGATTAGACCAGGAGGTGGTGCACCAATTTGCGGATAGTTGGTAGGATATGTAGGCTGGGATGGAAAAGCCACTGGTTTGACTTGATTAGAGGCTTGCTGAATATTATGTAGAACCATGCGATGACGATCGTGCAATGCGTTCAGAGCTTTAAGTGCGTATTCACCAGCAGTCTCGTGAAGTAGTTGTGGTATATCGGGGTAATTTAAACTGATTTCACGCATTTCATATTTTTCCTTCGAGTCTTCGCTGTTTAATTTGTTCGCCAAGGCTTCATACTCGTCCTACGCAAAATAAAGTATGGTTTTTGAGCTAAGAGTTGGCTTACACATTTGATGATAAAAGTGTTCAAGCTTACCTTCAAGTCAATCAGAGCTTTTGAATAACAAGACAACTTAAGCAGCCACTCGGAACTATCCAAAAATTGTTTCCAGTCCAAAGTTTGAGCCATCCAACCATTAATTTTGCCAATTACGTCGAGTATGTTATTGCAAAAATCAATGCGTCTAAAAATGGTGAAAATTCATTATCTATTCACGGTCTAAATAGTATATTTGTTTAATAGTTTTCTTACTCTTGTATGGTTTGAGTATAGTTTGAGTATTTGTTGTTGAGGCAATCGTTCAACAATGCTACCCTTGTTTCTACTTCTTTTTCCAAAGCATTCCTGTAAACAATATTTAAGGTTTTTACAATGGTTTATTGATTATACCAATTTAAGTTTGACAATTACCTCATCATGTTTTCAGATTTAACCACCCAATCTGCGTTAATTTTATCTTCTATCATCTCGATATCTTTTTGAAAATTTGCTAACATTTCTTTGCGGCGTAACTCTGAATTTTCACTTTCCAACAATTTCTTTTCTAACTCTTTTTTTACTTGCATCAAATCAATGATTTCTTTTTTTAAGGAAACGTTCTCTTTTCTTATAATTTCTTTGGATTGCTTAAAGCTATCAATTTTCTCTTGAATTGTTGCCCACTTTAGACTGTTATCCGCTAACTGACTTTTTAACAGCTCTAAATTGGTATTCTGGGCGACCAATTCTTTCTCCAAGTTTTCCTTTTGATCTATCAACTTTATCTTATCCATCTCCATTTGATGTATATACGTCTTAAGTTCTATAATTTCCATTAATTTTGTTTTGGAATCGTCACTTTTTGGAGCAGCTTTTTCAACAGGTTCTCGGGGAAAAACATCCGTTTTTTTATCTGAAATTTTTTGCGACGGTGGTGCATCACCACCGAGATTTTCACTGGCATAGGTTTTATGTGAATATTCACTCAACTTACTATCCTGTAACTGAATTGAATGGTTGTCTAAATTTATTTCGTTAAGAACTAAGATTTTAAGACTATCGATCATTATATTGGGATAGTTTATCGACATTATTGCTATATTATTTTACCTTGTTTACATTTTTTAAATCACAATCATCCAAATCATCCATCAAGTTGTCGTACACATCTTTCATTTCACCAAACACTTCTTCATCTTGAGATACAGATGGTGGTATTAGAGCTGTTTGATCCAACATTTTTATTTTTCCAGTTGTCAGTAAAAAATTCAAGATATCTAAAAGCAAAGCAAAGTACAAAAAAAGTATGCTATTAAGATAAATGATGGAGTAGTGTTACGAGAATTGGGAGCTGTTTTCATACCCAAATCAGGAACTTTGGTGAATTCTTTGCACTCATTAAATTTGGCGTACAAATCGCAAACTCTCACCAAATTGTTTCTTATGTAATCCACGAACATTCTGAAAAATTTTTCCAATTAACGTATTGGTAAAAAACTTAATTTCTTTTCCAAATCAATTAATACGTACGAGACCAAAAATTCTTTATGTTTAGCAGTGTCTGGATCGTCAGAAGAAAAATTTAATTTTCCCCCACATTCATCATTTAGAATTACTATTGAATCATATTTTTCGAAATGCTAAAGTATATAAAATATTAAATATGATACATGAGAATGTTCTTTTGAAAAAAGTAAAACTAATTGAAAATTGTTATGTATTTACTTCAGGCTCATAATTCATTGACTTCTCTAGTTCCAGTCTTCTGCGTTGTTCAAATTTACTTCCTAATTGTGTCTGTCATAGAATTAATTGTTAATAACGATCTTTCAAATCATGAACATTAAATTTTTTAAGGCCGAAAATTCTATTTTACAAACCTTGTCAAAATCTCTTTCTGATGCTTTCTCTGTAGTTACACAAGGTTTTTTGGTTACAGCCGATTCCATGTATATTTTTGACGTACCATTTGCCGCAACTATTTCAACATAAACTAGTGTACTAGGTTTTTTCCCGTTCATGCAATTTTTCGTAAAACACTTATAATTTATGAATTCCTGTTTCAAATATAAAAATCAATTAAATAAAAATGAAATCAAATAGTACGCCTTAGTAACACTTACTTCATCACGAATTGTTTTGTATGGAAGGAGTTTATCTTTCTGAAATTTCCAACAATATTGGTGAAATTTTAAAGTACATGACCTCTTAGCATTACACTTCACTATAACCATTCCATTAAATGCTGGATCACTGTTGAGATTTGCAATGAAGAATTATTCACATGACTCGAAAAAATTACAGAAAATAATACAATCTGATGCATAGCATACTTACCGCAAATAAATACTTTCGTTTGCAGTGACGTAAGGTTTAGTGATGTTCCTGCATTCACTTAAAAAACAAATTGCATCAGGTTCATAAGATGAACATTTTGCCTTAGTCTTTTTCCATAACTCCTAGGAATCATTAACGAAAAAAAATTACATTAATTTCTAGTAAATATGAAAGACGTACTTATTAACGGCAATTAAGTTGTCCTTACAGATTCGATGTCTTGATTAATGAGAATGTTTGTACCAGGTATATACAGCCCTTCCAATAAAGAAGTGCACATGCCTTTTATGATTGATTCTCCTTCGGAAATCGCATTGAATGCTTCTTTAAATCTAATAAAAATATCATGTTACAGAAAAAAAAAAAAAAAACAAAAAAAAAAAAACCGATGAATATTTAAGTAGTTTTGGGGAGACTGTGATTTCTTAAGCTACATGAATTATTGTAGTGCTGTGCAATCATGCCAAACACTTGGTAAAGTAATCATTTTACCTGTATAATTTACAGTGAGCTTGAGCTAAAACTAAGAAAAGACCAGGAAATTTCTTCTTAGCAACTACGTCTATTGTCTGCAAGATCATCACTGCTTCTGCCAAGCTGTCCAAATCATTTGCTTCCACCAAGCAACTGGCTACCATGTACTGAAGTACACATTTGATCTTTGCACTGTATTGCATTTCTGTAGCCATCGTAAGAGCTTGATTGTAGCTTTGTAGGGCAGTAGAATACTCTTTGGCCAGAAATGCCTTCGAGGCTTCATTGATGAAGGCCTCGTATCGCTTAAAAGAATTTTACCATGAGGAACAGTTTGAATGTTCTCTTTTTACAATAAAATACGATGCACAGCGAATTTACTATACAACTAGTAGAAGTTACTTTTGGTACTTACGGCTTTTTGAGAAGATTCGTAACTCATGATTAAACAGCGAAATTGACCATCTACCTAAAATTTACCGAAATAGATATATCAAAACATTGTCGCCTAATATCGATTGCCGATGGGTACAACAAATATCTCTTTCTACACTTACGTTATAAACAACAGCACACTAATGTTCTTTAGAAAAGTTTCTGTAACTAAAAAAATTGGACAAAGGCTGTTGTCAAGGGCGATTCTCGAAAATTTTCTCGTGCAATGTTTGCCTGCAACGTGTGTACTTCGTCCTTTGTGTGTTGTGAAACACAAGCACGTCCGTAATTTGTTGTTTTTCAACAAATAAATACAGAACTAACTAAACTATATGCATGCGTATTTAATCGCGTAGGTACTTGTATGTGTCCTTGATCGAGCTATACTCTGTATCGGCACTTGGTACTTCCTAGCTTCCTATTAAAAACAAGAGAAGAAAACATGACTACCTGTATACACTAAGCATACTAACGTACTCGTGACTTTCAACCCTTTAACTTTCGAGGCGCGCCATTGATTCCATTGTCTCCGTTGCTCTTTTAAGTATTTTTTCACACTACTAAGAATACCGACTGATTAGCGCTTATTTTTTTCTCCATTTGAAACGTGACTCGACGAGATTCAATACACTAGGTATACCTCGAGTATAACGATGGAATGCGACGATGTAGTGTTTTATTTCATACCTTCATGAGCTGCAGCATCAGCCCGGCCGCCGGACGCCGTTATCTAATTTCTTTCTCACTCTTTAAGGGGGCTCGTGTATAGACCAAGAGCTGAGGCCAGAGGGTGATAAAAAATGTAAACCAGCTGCAATTTCCACCAGAATCGAGAAACTTCATGATTCGAAAGGAGCCAAAGTATTTTTGTCGTATTTCTTTCTGGTAAAGAGTTATGTGGGTATTTAAGTAGTGCCATGTGTGGTCAATATATATATATAAACGAGCCGCAACCTAGATGCCTAGACCTATGGATAGAAAATATGGTTCTAGCGAAAAATTTATTATTTGCGGCAAGATTATAATTTATTTTCTACTAAAAAATTGACTTTCATAAAAATGAACCCCCCCCCCCTTACATAAAAGAAAAACCAGCCGAAAATTTGCCAGATGGTTATATTCAATAATATTGATCATTAAACAGGATTGCGGCAAATTTTAGATTAGTTAAATGGGAAAAAATGATTTTACCACGCTGCTTATCTAACGCTAATCTTATGTATGGTACTCATCTACGCTTATAGATAATGCATTTTTAGATAAGATTAGCGTTGGATAAGCGGCGCGGGGAAAGGTGTTCCATTTTTCCCCTTTTGATGAATCTGAAAATTGCCGCAACTTCGATAATGTGAAAGATTATTGTAATAATTTTTCTGGCCAAGCGGCTGGTTTAAGTTTTTAACCATGTGCCCTTTTACAATACAGTAGTCGCAAAAAAACCGTCACCACATGTTGCTTTTATTGCCAACAATATCGCCTTGTTTTTATATTGATAACATATGTAGCAAATACTATCACGTTATAAAAAGCATACGATAATCGTGACCATCGTCATTGTATCTGCGATTATACTGTGAAAAATATAACTATAAGTAATTTATAATGATATTGTGTTCAATAAGTGCATCATCATTTCTTAACTATTCACCATCAAGTATTGGAATTCCAAAAGGTCACGTGATTCTCGCGGTGTATATAGTCACTTGGGGGAAAAATAACACTACTTAAATATGCGTTTTCGCCCTTTCAAAGGAAGTTTTAAGCTGCAAAAGACTAATTGAGTTGGGAAAAAATAGCCAAGGTATTAAACATGTCCTCAAAAATATGTTATTAAAAGGCTTTTATCGTATTACAATCGTTGAACGTGTAAAAAAAAATAAAAATAGAATTGCACCTACAAGGCCTGTGTTATTTTTCCCCCAAGTGACTAAATACACCGCGAGAATCACGTGGCCTTTTGGAATCCCAATACGTCTGTGGCTTCCCGGACCAACCGATTACTTACTTAACGTCCAAACAAATTTTTGAAATGATTCGAGTTAGCAATTTTCCGTAATCGGCACTATACCTAATCGATTAACTGCCATTTTCCCGGCTCAACCGATTAAGGGACCGTTGTCCCGGCCCAATCGAATGAGTGATGGAAAAAAATCATTGCTACAGCAAAAATTAATGATATTAAAGTGCAGAAATCATAGAAGAATATTTTTTTTAGTATATGTCACCCTTTTAAAAAAAATTTAATGTAAATATGTGGCTTTTACAAATGATATACTAAAGAAAGTTCATTATACCAAAAATATGTTTAGACGTATAAGTTTTGCATTTTACTTATCTAAAATTATTTTATTTAAACATGTAACAATATTATAATACATTTATAATCCAATTATTATCTAAAGAAGTTATATTTTCAATATCTCAATTATTTATTTCAAGTGCATTCTTTTCATTGTAATTTATTGATAAAAATTATTTCTATTTAACCAGTGCAACTTTTTTACTGTTCAAAACACTACTTTAATTTGGAATCCAAAACACATGAAAAATTTTTATTTCTTAACATATTTTTTCGTACACCCAAATTTAGCTGTAATAAAAAAAGATACCCAGCGTAAAAGCAAGGATGAATCGAAAAACTTATCAATAAAATTATTGTACGATACAGGTAATTTGTGTAGGATGGAAAAAAAAGCTTAGTTTATTTATGTACGAAATACAAAATGTTATTTTATTCGACAATAAAATTAAGTAATAATTTTCGTTAAATGACATTTGTACTTACAAAATTTAACGACTTAAAAGATATACCTAATATGTACAAATACATGTATAAATTATACAGTATTTAGAAATTCTGTTGACTATGATACAATCTGCTTATAAACTAAATCACACTTGAAGACTTTAATGCTAGGATACAAGTTTTTTTTTTTATATAAACGCTGTACACTCTAAATATTAACAATGAACTTAAAATTAAAATCACATGAAAAAGCTTGTTTACTTTAACACATTCGTCACTCAATAAAGCTTAATAAAAAGTGTCTGACTACATCCCTCGGTCAAAGAAGCAGGTACAAAAACAAAGTAAGTCCACAAAAAAATCAACTATCTTTTACAGTTTTTTATATTAATACCTCCCTTGGCCTGAGAGTTTGTTCGTTCGACTACAGGCACTCGATAGTAACTATATTCAATAGCCTGATTATTGGCTAAAAGTACACTTTTTATCATCACTATTCTTGCACTCGTAACTGTTACTCTTTCTTTATTTCAACTCAATTCATAACTGTTTAGTCCCATGAATAAGAGCACAAGAAAAAAAAAACGGTGCTGATACGTGTCCCTGGGTGCAGCCGCATCCGAAACCAGACGTAACTTTCTTCGTCAATGTCGGATCTCAAGTGCCTAGATGCGATAGGGTTTGAGATGGCAGCAGTAGCCAGTTCGCGCCTAGCCTAGAAGTTAGGATTGACGGGCTTCGAGTGCCGGCGTCGCGGAGGCAAAGGTGGCGGCGTCTCCGGCCACGTTTGCTTGTGCTCATCATCCTCATTGTTACCGATTATGCAACTGCCACTACTACTGTTATCGCTGCCGATGTCTCTTTTGCCAAAGTCGTGCAGCCTGGCGTCCTGTTGTGCCGACTTACTGTAGTCTACTATGATGTCCGTGAATTTTATGATCCTCCACCGGTACAGGACCTCCTCCTTGGGGTTCTCGACGTTTTCTTTCACGGCCTTTCGAAGCTTGACAGCCGAGTCCTCGGAATCCACTGGCGATTCAGGGACAAAGATCTCACAGTCCGACAGCGCCAGCCCAGAATACGTGGACAAGGACAAGCAATCTTTGCGTAGAGGTTCTGTCAAACAGAGATTGTCCAGGGAAATTCCATCAGCTACTATAAAACGAGAGAAAAAACGATTGAAACCAGTTTTATAGTGTAAAGTCTTTGGCGACTCTCAAGAAAAGTTTGGTGCTCACAGTGTAGGCTGTCAGTGCTGTCTTCGGCTCCGCTGTCGCTTGGCTTGGCGCCGAAAAGCAGGTCGAGTTCAACCCCTTCACCAAACAGGACCTCGCAGTGCTGGATAAGCATCTCCACGAGGGCAGGAATCGCCCGGCTCTGGTTTACCGAGAGACTCTTGGACCAGAGCAGACTTGGCCCACAGCACACGCCGAGGTTACTCGCGCACATGAGGTTGTGCTTCGAGCGCCGGGCTATGTGGTGCAGCACATGGATCAAGTGCGACAGCAGCGTATAGTTTGCCCTCGGCAGACGGTCCAAAATGCTACAAACCAAACGAACGATAAATAAATGGATAATCATATATGATAAGGTAGCTCAATTGAGGTAAAAACATCACAGGTCGTACCTTTTGATCGTCTTGAGCGGGTCCGGAGACTCGAGGCTGGCCATCCACAGGGAGAAGAGGTGAGAGGTGAGGAGGGGGTCGGGCAGGGATCTCAAGAAGTCCTTGAGTAGGGCAGCCACTGCAAGTACGGACGCGTCCTCGAGGCAGCTGGTGTCTCCCGAGGACTCAATCTGGTCCTTGAGCTCCCGGACCACCCTCAAATTGGCGGATTTGCGGAAGATGCCTTGGGTGGAGGGACCCTTGGCGAGGAGCTGCTGCAGCATGACGAGGACCGGCTTGGGCAAGCCGTTCTCGTCAAGCCGTGCTAGATTGACACCAAAGACGCGGGGACTAGAGGAGGCGGATTTTCGCAGGAGACCCCATGTCCGGGATTTGTGCGACTTTGCATTACTATTGACTGACGCCAAATTTTGCGCGTCGGTTTCCATGTACTTTTCGTACTTGGAGAGCCTCTGAATCTGGAAGTCAAAACGGTTGAGGTTTTGGTTAGTCGTTACTTTTCGATTATGAGACAGGGGAACAATTTTATTTCTATAAGAAGATCAAAATCTGCAAATCGGTACTTGTGTCGGGGAAACATTATTAATTTAATTTTTTTTTTTTTGCAAGGATAATCTAATCTCAAGGATAATTTTAATCAAAACTTACCTCACTACTCGGCTGGTGATCATTTGATCCGCGCCGAAGGGACCGGAAAGACGCTCTAGTCTTTCTGCACCAGTTAGAAATGGCCCTCTTCATTTTTCACTTTGACGTACACTCCAATTTCACTAGTTGCACCCTTCGGTTCACAATGCGAGCAGTTACCACTAGCAGACACTAGAACACTGCGGGAGAGAATAACTGAGGACTGAGGGACGGTAGTCCCATTGCACTCCCGAATATCCCCACACTGTGCAGTAATGAGTTTACGCCCTTTCACTATTGGCCCAAGCGCAATTAGTCGTCAATGGGAAAGGTCAGTAGTGGGATTATTTGGGTGGTGACATATACATGACTAATTGTGTTCGAACATATCTCAGGTAGCGCCATCCATACCGGAGCTCGGCACCAAATTTTCCTGCATGGAAGCATAGGATCTCATGGGGACGGTTTAATTTCTATTCTTTTATAATTTTACTTTTATGTGGTAGTTTATGGAACTGGTACTTTTTACAAGATATTGGAATAGTTTATTGGGAAAAAATTATCATAGAGAAAATACATGGGCACTAGAAGGAGAAAAATAAGAGTACTGAAGCTCTTCAAGTAAATAAGACATATTAGCTATGCTGAAATATTTATACTTGTGTATTTTTTTTAAAGAAATTATGGCAAAAATTGAATTTCTTTAAAAATTCGTTTACATTTTATTAGACGAGAAAGTATGTTAAAAATTACAAGTTTTTATTTATAATTGAAAAAGAGTGAAGCTGTTTAATGCTAGCGCTTGCTCACCCAAGCTCCAATTTATTGCAAAAAGATTGACATGAATTGTGTTCAAAGCAAGAAGATTAAAGTAATCGAAAAAAAAATTTATATACTCCAGTAAAATCATAAAAAAACGGTGACCTCTTGTATATCGAAGTATTAAGCAGTCCCTCTGATCTCTTTCTTGCTTGTTCCAATGAAATGGATACCATTCATATGAACTAAAAGTCATAAATTAACTATCAGAATAAAGTTAACGAAAAAAATTAGTAACTCTAGTTTTAATATTGGAGATAAATCAGTTGACAATAAAAAATAACTTATTCAATATCCATTTAAAAAGAAGCCCAAAAATGTCACTAGCCTGTCTAATCGTTTTTTAACATTTAAAACTTGTAAATGTTTTGTTTTGTTTACTGTTTAAAATGAAAGCTAGTACAACTAAGAACTTATGGTTCATTGTACTTTTACTTAAGAATAAAACAAAAACATGAAGTTCATTTTACTTAAAAATACTGTAATGCTGGATTGTGGAAAAAAGTTGACACAATTTTATGATTGAAAGTTTTGTTCTGCATCCTGCTCTCAATTGACTAAATTTAGTATAAAAGCAATATTCATTCATCGATAGTTAATATCTTGCATCTCCAGGTATATAGATCAGACCCTGTCAATCCGCTGAAGCTGATCATCTGAATAAACTGAACTCAGACTTTCAGTATTAATAAAAAACCACGAACCACATATACGGCTTGAGTGGATGAGAAAAAAAAGAGCATTTCTAGTTTTAATGCCAGAGATTTATCCGTCAACATTAATGAATAACAAACACTACATCTAACAATGTCCCAAAGATATGTCTAGCCTGAGTGAATGTTTAAGAAAACTTTCAGCTTAATGTAGAATTTTAAGAATCAGTTGCTATTCAATACAACAGCTAGTACCAAAAACTAATGACATTATGATTTATTGTACTTTAGTTTACATAAACCAATTCTTAATCCATCCCACTAGAAAATACTTTGATGCATAATTCAGCAAAACAAAGTCATAATTTCCTTGATAGTGTCCCTTCTCCATCCAGTTTATGATTCATAAGGATGACTCTAGAAGTTGCCAATACTCTTCGACAGGTGACATCTTGCATCTCCAGATGGTTAACAGTCCCTGTCCCTCCGATAAAGTTGACCCTCTAAAGAAACTTAATCTTGAGTACTAGTATACTGAAGTCGAAGTCACCATCAACATTTGAGGCCTCAGTGGATAAACCAAATGAGCATTTTTGGGTATAGTGACAGATGAAAAAGTCATTAAGTGAAAAGTATCTAAATTAAAAAAAAAATCAAAGATTGATCCAGCCTGCTTGCTTGTTTCTAAAAACACTTTATAATTCATCCCACTCAAAAATACTTTGATGCAGAATTGAGGAAAAAAGTCACAATTTTATAGATTTTTCTTCTCCATTCAACTAATGATTCATTAGAATCAGTCCAGAAGTTGCCAATACTCTTCGACAGATGACATCTTGCATTTCCAAGTGGTTAGCAGTTCCAGTCCTTCCGATAAAGTTGATCCTCTTAATAAACTGAATCCTGAGTTGTAGTATACTGTAGTAGAAGTCAATATCAACATTTGAGGCCTAAGTGGGTAAAAGAAATGAGCATTGTTTGGTATAATGACAGATAAATCAGTTGATAATTGAAAAGTGTCTAAATTAAAAAAATAATAAGATATTTATTCGGCCTGGTTGTTTGTTTACAAAAACACTTTATAATCCATTCCACTGAACATTACTTTGATGCAGGATTGAGGGAAAAAGTAACAGTTTCATAAGTGATATTTCTTTTCCAATCAACTTACGATTTATTAGAATCAGTCCAGAAGTTGCCAATACTCTTCGACAGATGACATCTTGCATCTCCAGGTGGTTAACATGCTCTGTCTCTCCGATAAAGTTGATCCTCTAAATAAACTTAATCCTGAGTTGTAGTATACAGTAGTAAAAGTCACTATCAACATTTGAGGCCTAAGTGGATGGAAAAAATAAGAATTTGTAGGTGCATAAAAGCTAGAGCAATTTATTAAACAGCCTTAATATCCATTGCACTTTTGCTCATAAAAAGAGTATTTAGAACTAGCTTTACTGATGATGTTGTTTCTTTTTCAATCAGCTCTTGATTGATTAAGAAGCTGCAATTATCCTTCATTAGGTGACATTTTAGATTTTCTGGTATTGAGCATTCTTCAATTCTTGCTTGGATGAAATTTACTTTTTAATTGAACAACTAAATCCACAATTTCAGCGCAAACAGTAGCCGTACTTGAGCACTTCCTTGAGAGAACTGCAGTTGATGTGGAAGGTACTGTTGCACATTACACCTGAAATGATAATTTTGAACAAAGTAAATAGATCTTAAAATAAAAAGATGACTTGTCTTTTAAGAGGATATAATGTTTATTGTGTAAAGCAATGTTTTTACTTATCTGACATACTATAGGTTAATCCATATTAACCCTGTCAAGCATCGAGTATACTAGGCACTAACTCTTCGATGACCGTATGAAACTAATTAGTTTTTATTCTCATATTATATTTAATATAAATGAGTAAAAGTCAAAAGATTCGGTTTTAATACCGCAACACTTGCCAAAAATGTAAATAAACGTAAAGCGTGTTTTCCACTGCCCTACTTCAGCTGTCTGCTGGCTTGCGAGATGCTGCCAACTTTCGAGCAGCAAAATTGATGTATCACATACATATAGATATACTCCAGTACATGTTTTGTATGAGCATGAAATCTTGCAATATAACATTAATTTATTAATAAATAAATCATACCTTTTATCACCATGATGATCAATAATGATTTTAAAAACTTATTATAACTTTGCAAGGCCAGAGCTTATTGAAATATTGGGAAAATATTCGTTTACCTGAGGTAACATTAAATTGCCATTTATTGCTTAAATAATGGCTTAAAAATTATTTTATCACTGTAATTGTGATTATTCTAGTTTATTATGATTTTTTCATGCCTAAATTAAATTTTTTTTTAATATTACTTTTTTTCACTTTTTTGTAATTTTGAATTTCGCGGCTAATTTTCTGCCACAATGTACAATACTGGTCGACAGTCTCTCTGTCACTCATATTCAAGTAAGTAATAAAAGTATTCAACACACGAAGCTCACACAGACGTGAGATTCCGAGCTAGTTTAATTGTTTGATTAAGATTGTGTACATGTTGATCCTGAATATGGCAGAGCCAATCAGGAGGAGCTCCCGCATCCTCCACACTGCACCTGACCATCTGTTGGCATGTACAGGCTCTCCAAAGTCTGATTATCGACAACGAATGGACACTGCAGCATTGAAAATGCTGACTTAATCTCCGACCGCGTGGCGGCATGATTCGCTCCCGCATGTGGCGAAAAAAGTGTCTGGTTAGTTTATATAGACCAAATTGACAGAAGTTATTCAGAGATGTGTACACACTGGCTCATGACGTAAGTCTACAGTCATCCACGTGGACGGACTCGGTTTGAATAGTTTGCTACGTTTGTAGTAGCTCACTAATCCGTACCTACAGGTAAGTGAGGTAAGTGAGGTGAGTAGGACGTGGGGTCACTTGCTCTCGTGTACATATTTTTTGTTTTTATTTTTACATTTCTGTTAAAAACCAGTGTCCTGATTTACTATTTGCGTTCTTTCGAACCTAATTTCTCTCTTTTTTTTTTATTTCTGCTTACAAAAGGTGAAAATTCTGAGACGTCAAGAAAAACAATCATTTTACACATACCTATTGTAATCTGTGCATTTATGATAAAATATATAATCGTAATTGTTTAATATGCCTTTAATTTCAATCAGCTATGATATTTAATTAAGTATTAGAACTTTATATTTTTTAATCATTTTTTAATAATTTCTTACACCTAAGTTTAGCTAGAATAAAAAAAGATACCCATAAATGCAAGGTTAAATAAAAAAACTTATTAATAAAATTATCGTATGATATGGGTCATTTATATGGGATAAACAGAAAATCCAAGTTTATTTGTGTACAAAATACGAAATGTAATTTTATTTAACCATAAAATCAAGTGAATAATTTTCGTTAAATGACATTTGTAGTTACAAATTTTAACGACGTAAATGATTTATTCAATATGTACAAATACCATGTAGAAATTAATTATACACTATTTAGAAATCCTGTTGACTATGATACAATCTGCTTATAAACTAAATCACACTTGAAGACTTTAATGCTTGGATACAAGTTTTTTTTTTTATATAAACGCTGTACACTCTAAATATTAACAATGAA